TTTAGGGTAACTCGGTATTTAAGCGCGGGCAAGACTGAACGAAAAGGCCGGCCCCCCAATAAGGGAAATACCAGGAAGCCCAAAAGGTTCCCCAAACTGCTCCACACCCTAGGCCGTGAAACCGGCTTGGGGACCAGATGAACCCTAAATGGGTTTAGGGCTCATATACCTGAATAGGGATTCTAGCACAGAAGGGTTCATGGTTCATGTACCTTCTGAGGAATTAGACTATACTCCCCTTAGAACCTTAATAAAAACAAGATTTCTAATATCCTCTTGTGTTTTATATAAACAAAACTTAAAAAAATAATTCCCAAGTCCCAATTCAGACCCTAAACCCTAAACCTAAACCCTAAACCCTAAACCCTAAACCCTAAACCCTAAACCCTAAACCCTAAACCCTGAACCCTACACCCTAAACCCTAAACCCTGAAGCCTAACCCCTGAAACCTAGTGGCACATAGATCAGCATTTGCCGGTGCTCCCAGTTGTTCGCGGCATCCTTTCAGGAATCAGAAGCGGGGGTTTTAGGGTCTAGGGTTTTGGGTTTGGGGTCTTCTCCCCCCCCCCCCCCCCTCCCTGTTTTCGGGATGCCCGTCATGGGCAACATCATATTTTTGGAGGGGTAGACTACCGTAGGCCCTAAATCCTAAACCCATTATTATTTACTGTAAATGCGCCATCCTGGCTGGTGGGATAGACGCAAAAGCCATCACGGCTTGGCCAGAAAGACCGTAGTGGTAAGGCAGTTAGAAGCTCTAACTGAAAGTGAAGAAGGCCACACAGATGGGCCAAGTGAAGAAGATTTGTCCGCTGCTATGTCTGCAGGCAACACCAGCATAACAGCCAAGTGACTGCAGGCGCAGAGGGCCGAGTGAAGTAGATTTGTGACCACTGCTATGTCAGCAGGCAAATCCTAAACCCTAAACCCTAAAACCCAAAATCCCCAAAAAATCTTTCTGCCTTCATTCCGATAAGGACTTTTTGCAGGGATCCTTGAACCCTAAACCCTAAACCCTACACCCTACACCCTAAACCCTAAACCCTAAACCCTAAACCCTAAACCCCCCGAACTCCAGGCATCTGGCTAGACTTTTTGGGGTTTCGGGCTAAGCGGCTTTGGGGTCTGGTCTCCCCCTCCACAGCAAAGGTAACATTGAAGACCCCAGTAGGGGGCTGGGGTTTAGGGTTTAGGGTTTAGGGTTTAGGGTTAGGGTTTAGGTTTAGGGTTTAGGGTTTAGGGTTTAGGGTTTAGGGTTTAGGGTTTAGGGTTTAGGGTTTAGGGTTTAGGGTTTAGGGTTTAGGGTTTAGGGCCACGGCGTCCTGGAAGACTTCCTTCCAGTCCTCCACCACGGTCTTCGTGGTGCAGCTGCGGACGACCATCTTGGCAGCAGGCACTTCTGGATTCTTGTTTTAAGGTTGGGGTTTAGGGTTTAGGGTTTAGGGTTTAGGGTTTGGGGTTTGGGGTTTGGGGTTTGGGGTTTAGGGTTTAGGGTTTAGGGTTTAGGGTTTAGGGTTTAGGGTTTAGGGTTTAGGGTTTAGGAAGGCCTGAATACAAGAGCCTCAGGAATGAAAGAGGTGCCATGTTACGGGGGGCATCTGCACTTCGTAGTGTTCCTGGTGCTCCAAAGCCACATGCTTGCAACCGGAGAATGGGATAAAAAGACACAAAACACGGGGTTGGGGTTTAGGGTTTAGGATGACGGTTCGGAGTGCTTGGATTTAGCAGCGCGCTCAGAATCACCACCTCTGAAACGGGCCAAGCCCAATAAAGGCGAGAAGCCCCCAAAGAAACCTACAGATCCCGAAACGGAAACTGCTTGAAGCTAGTATGCCCTAAACCTTAAGCCCTAAACCCTTTAAGCCCTAAACCCTTTAAACCCTAAACCCCATGGTGGCGATAAGTACAACCCTTTATTATTCAGCGCCCAAGGAACCACGAGGCGGAAGATTTCAAACGCGGCCATTGCAATGGTTTGGCTCATGCCAACATCTCGCGATTCCCGCGGGAGGGACTCGAAAATGTCGTGTGGCTCCTGCTTGGCAGCTTTCATCATGAAGCTTGTTGGGAGTCCAGCCTTGTATGAGCAAACGGGGGGCTACATTCTTCAGGATTGTCTTTGTTTTGTTTTTGTTTCTTGCGTGGGCAGGGGGGTGGGTGGGGGCTTGGTTGCAACCATGGTACTCTAACCATGCCAAAACACTGGTATGTGCGGCGCTTTTTTGTGCCTCCGTACATAAGATGCTGCTAAAGGATGTTTGACGCTGCTGGAACAAAACGTGCTCAAGCCTCTTGCGAACATGCCCACAACACTGGATCATCTAGCGTTTGTGCCTTTTATGAAGAACATGCTGCAGAAGAATGTTTGATGTTTCTGCGACCAGATGCCCTGTCACAAGTGTTGATGCATTTTAGCGAACATGCCCAAAACCCTGCGGCTCTTTCTACGACATAATCCTTCACCAGCAACCATGTTCATCTCCAGAAACGGTTTCGAGCTTGTGCTGTCACCCGAGACCCTGACCATGCGCGACAGACGCATCCAAAACTCGAGATCTAAGCTTTCCAAACGGTAAATAGAAAAAATGTTGGGTCGCAAAAATTGCGAATCAAGATCTCGTTTCAGGTGGCAGGCGTGGTACTTTCGGCATGCGTGTCTCTGAACCCAAACCCCACATGGGGTTGTATGATGTAGAAGGTACAATATTATAATATAGTATCGGACATGGGAAACTCTATTGCATAGTATTTTACACTTATGCAGGTTACAGATGTCATTACGTTGATTGTTTTAAACATGTGGACTTTTAAGAGATAAGCTAACATGCTATGCTACCCCCGTGAGGGGCCGCTCGGTTTTCAACACCCGGGAAACTTAGCCATTAAGCAACCCCGTCGAAGACTTTATGGAAGAAGACGAGGCTACCTCCTGTGCTCGGTTGAAGTTCATGTTGCCCTCACTGCCCTCACATTGCGCTCATACATCCATTCAGCGACGTCACCAGCAAGGAGAAGTTAGTACACTGTGCTCGGCACGTCTTCACGCGCCTGCCAAAACCCTCAACCCTCAACCCTAAACCCTAAGCCCTCAACCCTCAACCCTTAAACCCTGAACCCTAAACCTTCAACCCTAAACCCTAAAAGGCCTTGAAAGGTTCTGAAGGCCTCGGATCCCAGTGCATGGTCCTAGCGAGCCTTCAAAAGGCCCTGAAGTCCTGGAAAGGCCTGGGGGGCCCTGGGAGGGTTTAGGGTTTAGGGTTTAGGGTTTAGGTTTTAGGGTTTAGGGTTTAGGGTTCAGGGTTTAGGGTTTAGGGTTGCTGCTTGCGTTTCGGCCTCCCGAGAGAGAAATCCCGGAAACATCCCGGATGAGATGCCAACGAACAGAAGCCAAACCCTAAACCCTAAACCCTAAACCCCAAACCCTAAACCCTAAACCCCCAAGTACAGCGCTCCTGCTCTCGAGCTTTGAACTCGTCATCGCTGACCTTGGCAAGGAAGAGGTCTTCAACGCGTAGCAGATGTAGGGTTTAGGGTTTAGGGTTTAGGGTTTAGGGTTTAGGGTTTAGGGTTTAGGGTTTAGGGTTTAGGGTTTAGGGTTTAGGGTTTAGGGTCTAGTGTTTAGGGTTTAGGGTTTAGGGTTCCCGTTTAGAGGTTCACTATGTACGATATCTTGGGCTCATGGGGCTTCGGCCTACGGGACCCGTCTTCGTGTGTCGTATCGTGGTGGTCCCGGCCATCCTGGCACCACATGTGCCGTCAGCGCTTCGGTCTTTAGGGTTTAGGGTTTAGGGGTTAGGGTTTAGGGTTTAGGGGTTAGGGTTGAGGGTTGAGGGTTGAGGGTTGAGGGTTGAGGGTTGAGGGTTGAGGGTTGAGGGTTGAGGGTACATAGCAACCCATTTAAAACTGCACTGAACAAACCCAAATAATCTAGTAATTGAAGTTGAAGTACCCTGAACCTCCAAGTAGAAGGGGCTCAGGGCTTAGGGGGAGTTTAGGGTTTAGGGCGTTAGGATTTTGTGGGGTTTAGGGTTTTGGGGTCTTGGATTCTAGGCTTTATGAGGTTTTAGCGTTTATGGGGTTTTAAGGTTCGATTTGAGTGTTCAGGGGGCTTAGGGACCACCCACCTCCAACCCTAAACCCTAAACCTTAAACCCTCAACCCTAAAGACCAAACCCTAAACCCTAAACCCTAAACCCTAAACCCTAAACCCTAAATCCTAAATCCTAAACCCTAAACCCTAAACCCTAAACCCTAAACCCTAAACCCTAAACCCTAAACCCTAAACCCTAAACCCTAAACCCTAAACCCTAAACCCTGAGCCGCCGTGACCATCCAAGAAGCATCGTCAGGCAAAAGCACGGGGCTCGCTGGACTGCGCGTCGCCGCCCTTTCCTTACTGCTGGCTCGTAGGGTTTCGGGTTTAGGGTTTAGGGTTGTAGGAAATGGGGGAATGAGGTACCCGACATAGTCCCTTAAAGGGTCGATTATAAGGCCCTAATGGGGTAGATATAGGGCCCTACATAGTCCCTTAAAGGGTATATTATCGGGCCCTAATTCCCTTAAAGGGTAGGTATAGCGCCCTGTAATAGTCCCTGAAAAGTATATATATATATATATACATGTATGGGGCCCTACTTCCCTCATTCCCTGCCAACCCTAAACCCTAAACCCTAAACCCTAAACCCTAAACCCTAAACCCTAAACCCTGCTAACCAACAGCAAGCTTCGGCAGCTTCGGCAGCTTCCCTTTCGGCGGCTTCACGCGCCTTGCTCGGGGCTCCGGGCGGGAGGAACTTAGGGTTTAGGGTTGATAGGGTTTATGGGCTTCTGCACCCTAAACCCTAAACCCTAAACCCTAATCCCTGATCCCTAAACCCTAAACCCTAAACCCTGAACCCTAAACCCTGTAAGTTTGGGGTTTCGTGCACGGAGTTTCGGGTTCGGGCTCAGACTCGCGGCCTCCTTGGCCGCACGCTCCATCTGCGCTTCTTGCATCGCCAACTGCGCAACGAAGTGGGCTTTGGAATGCGGAGGTGCATTGGAGAGTTTAGGGTTTAGGGTTTAGGGTTTTAGGGTTTAAGGGTTTAGGGTTTAGGGTTTAGGGTTTAGGCTCATTAAATCCTAACCCTAGATCCTAAAGCCTCAGCCCCTAAGCCCTAAACCTCAAGCCCTAAATGCTATGACGGCTTTAGGGCCAGTTGCGCGTTTTGGGGGTTGGGGTCTAGCGCTTATAAGACTACCAGCTACCATGACTTGTGAGCGGCCATGGGCCTACACGTGGGGTGGCGGAGCGTTTCCGTGCAAGTCTTGCGGTTGATGCTAGGTTCAAGCTGAAGGTTAATTATGTAGATAAGCAGGGATATATAGGTGCCATGAACAAGAGTATATCTATAGGTACCCTACTCAGAAGTACCCATGAACCTAAACCCTGAACTCTAAACCCTCAGCCCTAGACCCTAAACCCTTTTAGGGGGAACCCAAGGGCCTCCGCGGAACTAAGCCCAGAGCCGTAAATTCGGTTAGAGGTTGTTGGATAGGCACGGGAGTTTAGGGTTTAGGGTTTAGGGTTTAGGGTTTAGGGTTTGGGGTTTAGGGTTTAGGGTTTAACCCCAAACCTTAAGCCCTCAACCCGAGTCTCAGCGCTAGAGCATGGGAAGGACCACATCACGCTGCTCTGGGCTACAAACCACCTAAACCCTAAACCCTAAACCCTAAACCCTAAACCCTAAACCCGTTTGGGGCCTAACAAGCTTAGGGGGCAAGAGTGGCTCGCTGCGGGACCTGCGTTCGTGACAGTGAACCCTAAACCCTAAACCCTAAACCCTGAACCCTAAACCCTGAACCCTAAACCCTAAACCCTAAACCCTAAACCCCCACAAGCACGCAGCGGCGCGCTTGATGCTGCCGGTCAAAGGCCGCTTCCTCTTGCTCGATGGATGCCAGGTACTCGCGAGCCTGGCAGTCCAGAAAGGTTTAGGGCTTTTAGGGTTTAGGGTTTAGGGTTTAGGGTTTAGGGTTTAGGGTTTAGGGTTTAGGGTTTATAGGGTTTAGGGTTTAGGGTTTACGGTTTAGGGTTCACTGTCACGAACGTTGAATTCCCCAACGGTGCACGCTTGGTATGATTGTACCCCCTAAACCCTAAACCCTAAACCCTAAACCCTAAACCCTAAACCTTATTACTGCTAGGAAAAAGGGGCACATCCCAAGTGCACGCGCAGAAAGGGAAACTAGAACACAAGCCCGTGGAAGGCCAAGCACATGAACTCCTGGCTTCGAGGAAGTGGGAGAATCCCTCCACCCTAACCCCTAAACCCTAAACCGTAGACCCAAAACCCTAAACCCTAAACCCGAAACCGTAGACCCTAAACCCTAAACCCTAAACCCTAAACCCGAAACCGTAGACCCAAAACCCCAAAACCCAAAACCCTAAACCCTAAGCCTTGGGTAGTTCTTGAGGTGAATGTCACTCTTGAGACTTCCTTGGAGGCTTGGGGGTCTTCAGGGTGCCACGCCGAGTGCTTAGGAATCCTCCGGACTGAGGTCATTGGGGCTCTGGCGATTAGAGTTCAGCTTTTAGGGTTTAGGTTTTAAGGTTTAGGTTTTAGGGTTTAGGGTTCAGGGTTTAGGGTTCACTCTAGTCCCTCAGGCTTCAATATGCACCTTCAGACCTCGCTGAAGCGCAGGCAGGACTGTGTTTCCTACAATCACCATGACTGCTTTTCCTCATCTCATTGTCATAACCCCACGATCGCTCTTCCCATAAGTAGCTACTTGCTTTATACAACGACCATCAATACTAAGGGAGGCTTGTAGCAAGAGACTCCGTGCGGCCCTACTTCCGCAGCCCTAAACCCTAAACCCGAAACCCCAAGCCTAAGCCCTAAACCCTAAACCCCAAACCCTCAACCCTAAACCCTAAACCCTAAACCCTATACCAACCATCCGGGCCTTGAGGTGTGGCTGAAGCTTCTCCAGGTTTTCCTGCCCAAGGAGTTGCTGGGTTGCCCAAGAACCTAGGACTAAAAATCCTAAGCCCTAAGCCCTAAACCCTAAACCCTAAGCCCTAAACCCTAAACCCTAAACCCTCTATATGAGGTGGGTTAGGGTCTAGGGCCTCTTTGGGGCTTAAAGGTCTTTTTGTTGGCGGTTTTCAGATGTTGGGGTTCCGGGGCCCGAAGGGCTTAAGCGCATGTTGCTTTAGAGTTTTTTTTTGCGGCGGCTCTAGAAATCTATAGGGGTCGGTCGAAATGTGCCGAGGCCCCTGCGTTCTACAATACATCCGAATCCCGAAACCCTAAGTCCCAGGCCTAAACCTTAAACCCTGTATCAAAACTAGACCCTGAACCCTAAACCCTACAAACTAAAAACCCTAAACCCTAAACCCTAAACCCTAAACCCTAAACCCTAAACCCTACAAACTAAAAACCCTAAACCCTAAACCCTAAACCCTAAACCCTAAACCCTAAATCCTAAACCCTAACCCTAAACCCTAAACCCTACACAAACCCGCGGACCGCGCCTTTACGAAGCGCTCTTGCATGAGCTTGAAGCGCGCCGCGCGCTCCGCTGCAGTTTCCTTTTTTGGGTTTTTGCGGGGGGGGCTTTAAGGGGCTTAGGGTTTAGGGTTTAGGGTTTAGGGTTTGGGGTTTGGGGTTTAGGGTTTAGGGTTTAGGAGCTCGGGGGCTTAGGGGTTTAGGGGTTTAGGGGTTTACGGGCTCTAAACCTGGTTTGGGGGTTCTAGGCGTTTTGGGTTTTAGGTTGTTTTTTTTTTTTTTTTTTTGGGGGGGGGGGGGGGTTAGGGCCCCTAGGTTTTTTTTGTGGGGAGGCTTGGGTCGGGGAAGGAAGGCTGGACGTCCGGCGGGAAGGAGGAATCCTTCCAAACGCTTCTTCCCGAAACTCGGGAAATTACCTTAAGCCCCAAACCCCTGAACCTTAAAAACTTAAAACCTTAAAACCTTAAAACCTAAAACCTAAAACCTGCACCCCAACCGGCCGTGGGGTTTGGTTTAGCTTTGCGCTTGGGGTTGCTGGGAAAAGCCACAGATTGTGAGGCCGTTGTGTTATCTAGGACCCCCACAAAGAGATCGCCATTTAAAGGTTGGAATATGAAACAAAAATAGCACTCAGACTCGCCTGAAACCCAAAACCCCTCACCAACACCCCACCAAAAAACAAAAACCCTCATTTTCGGGTTTAGAGTTTAGAGTGCAACCCCTAGACTTCCGAAGCCCCGATTTGTACTGAACTTGGAACCCTAGAACAACCATTTACTTAGCTGCTTCTTCGGAATTATAGTGCCCCAAAAACTTAACAGCACATTCCCAAGTCTTTCTAAGCTATGACAACCATGTTTATGGCTTGATAAGATTATACAGGGGGCTAAGGGCAATAAAACTTCAGGATTCTGTTCAACCTTAGAAGCCCCCTATGACAACGAAAAATGCCTAAACCCTAAACCCTAAACCCTAAACCCCAAACCCTAAACCCTAAACCCTAAACCCTAAACCCTAAACCCTAAACCAACGAGCTGGCCTCCTCCTCTTCAGGCTCACTTTGCCCGCTGTGCCCGGGCCCATCGTCACCCCGGAGAAGTTCATTGCCGAGCAGCTGCAACTGGCGACTCTGGGAAGGCTTCAGGGGTTTAGGGTTTAGGGTTTAGGGTTTAGGGTTTAGGGTTTAGGGTTTACCGGGGGTTTGGCAACCCTCTGGGCTGAACCCTAAACCCCGCTGCAGGGGTGTTGGGGGTTTGGTAACCCTCAACCCTACTAATTGCTTAAGAACCCCACAAAAATTAAAAATTTTCTTCCTTATTAAGGGTAATAATGTGTTTTATTCTTTTGGGGTTCGTAAGCAAAAAGTAGAACCCTGAACCCTAAACCCTATGTCCTAACCCCTTTTTCCTGCTGACGCTTAAGGGTGGGGGATTAAGGATGGGTGGGTTTACGGGGCTTGGAGATGTGGGTTTGCAAGGGTTGAGAGAAGTGCTCGAAAAAAATCGCGTCGCAGGGCCTCCGCAAACCACGATCCATCGGACATGGCGGCAGGCCCACGGGAAGTTGCCACAACTATGCTTCTAAACCCTAAACCCGAAACACATAAAAGTACATGTTTAGATCCATCTCCCCCTTTCACCTGACGGGAGGCCCTTAATGAGGCTTAAGTGGGAGGGCACGCAGAGCCAGGGCGCTTTTTGGAAGGGTGCACGAACATCTTCTTGAGGCTGCCTTCAACCCTACTTTGGAGACGACCCTGGAAAAAAGTATATACTTTCCTAGGCATAAATAGCCACAATGGGGAACCCAGAACCAAGAAAAGTAGCCATAAGTAGATATAATCGGAACCCAGAACCAAGAAAAGTAGTTAAGTATGGTACTCCAACCCCACTAAAGGGCCCAGATCCCTGGCTGCCACAGCTGAAGCACTAAACGGCTGCCCTGGCGGGCACAGTTGGGCACAAACCCTACGGTCCAGGCCAGGCGTTTTCCGTTTTCTTTTGGGGTTTAGGGTTTAGGGTTTAGGGTTTAGGGTTTAGGGTTTAGGGTTTAGGTTTAGGGTTTAGGGTTTAAGGTTACCTACTCTTCTACTAAGACTCAGAGTCTGGAGGGTTAGTCTGCAAAAGGGGGTGGGGAACAGGTGATGTGCGCAAAATCCTTGCAAAGGTGAGACTCTTGTAACTACCCACCTCACGCTGTCCCAGACATATGGACCAGATAGCCCGGGACTCATGGCACTTCGTTGGGAGAGTTGACCCTGTCCCACCCCCCCCCCCCCCCCCCCCCCCCCCCTTCTCCCCCAAGCCCTGAACCCTAAACCCCCAAACCGAAATCCCGGAGCCCTAAACCCTAAACCCTAAACCCTAAACTCTAAACCCGAAACCCTAACTGTATCTAGGCCGCCGGGCGCACGTCAACGGCGATGTCCTCGTGGCCTCGGCCGAAAGCGAGTGCCAGGAGCTCCTGGGCGTCCCTGCCACAGGTCGAAAGCTGCAAGGTTTTCGGGTTTAGGGTTTAGGGTTTAGGGGTTTAGGGTTTAGGGTTTAGAGTTTAGGGTTTAGGGGTTAGGGGTTAGGGCTTAGGGTTGCTCCAGGGTGCTCTTGGGTTTGTAAAGTTTGGAGAGACTTTACAGGGGTGTTGGGGTGGAAGGAGGCCAGTCGGATCATGAAGAGTAGGAGGGGCGGCTGGGTGTAGAGATGCTTTCAGATTCAAAGGCAAACCGCAAACTGCCAAACCAACTCTTGGGGTTTCTGGCTCATATACCTTAGTAGGGACGATCAGTATGGTGCGTCCGACCCGAATATTTGCGTTCATTTGGTTTGCGAGGATTGCCGAACTATTCTCAAGCCACACGTACCTTTCAGCCGAGTCATGGCGCGTGAACTATTACCCTAAACTGGGGGTTTACGAGAGTAAGGGACCCGTAGTATAGACCCCAAAATAGTAGGGTTCCCTTATCATAAGGACCCCCAACATGGTGCCCCGAAGAGCGGCCCTCACCCCCTAGAAGCCAAATCCGGTCTGGGTTTTAGGGGTTTAGGTTTAGGGTTCAGGGTTCCGGGTTAGGGTTTAGGGTTTAGGGTTTAGGGTTTAGGGTTTAGGGTTTAGGGTTTAGGGTTTAGGGTTTAGGGTTTAGGGTTTAGGGTTTAGGGTTTAGGGTTTAGGGTTTAGGGTCTAGGGTCTAGGGTCTAGGGTTTAGGGGCCCAGGGGCCCAAAGGGCCGACCTGTCACCCGCTTCGGCTGCTGCTGTGGCCCATGAGACGCCTCTGGCACAGGGAGGGTGGGTTTAGGGCCTAAGGTTCAAGGGATTAGGGTTCAGGGGCTTTAGGGGTTTAAGAGCTGCAGGGGGTTTAGGGTTTAGGGTTATAGGTTTAGGGTGGGTTTGGGGTTTAAGGTTCAAGGGATTAGGGTGTAGGGTTATAGGGTTTTACGGTTTAGGTTTTTCAGGGGTTTAGGGGTTCAGGGGTTTTAGGGCTTTAAGAGCTGCAGAGGATTTAGGGGTTTAGGGTTTTAGGGTTTTAGGGTTGTGGAGTTGAGGGTTGAGTTGTATTTTGACCAATAACAGAAATAGAAACCCTGCTTCATATACACCTTGGAGAAATTTGATCGGCCCAGGGCTCCCTGAACTCAAGCCTAGCTGCACTGGCTTTCGTAACCATCCTACACCCTAAACCCTAAACCCTAAACCCGAAACCCCAAACCCGAAACCCCAAACCCGAAACCCTAAAACCACGGTAAAAGGGTCTAGGATTCAGAGTGCCGAGGGCAAGGAGTTTCAAGAGTTGGGCTTCGAGATTTCAGGGGCCCTAAACCCTCAACCCTAAAAAAACCCTAAACCCCTAAACCCCTAAGCCCCTAAAACCTAAAACCCTAGACCCCCTTGTGGTGCGCCTGCATGAACATCCTTCTTGACGCCGTTGGCGCCATAGAAGTAGTCCTCAGCTGCACCCGACTAGGAAGGCACCGAAATAGACTCCTAGACCCTAAACCCTCAACCCTCAACCCCAAACCCTAAGCATCCAGAACTCAACAGTTCAACCTGATCAAACCTCTTAAACACCTTCAGATTAAGTCCCTGACCTCTAAGAAAGGATCGTTCAGGGTAGAAACTCCTTCTTAAGGGGATTCGGGGCCCTCTGACAACACCCCCCGCCTGACCTCACAGTAAACCCTTCAGGATTGAGGGCTTACTTGGAGGTTCATGGAACTTACTGACCAGTTATGACTGTACTTCTAACCCACTTAGAAGCCCTCTAAGTGCCCTAATGTGGCTCTAAGTATATTACTGTACAGGTACAATTGGTTAGTAAGTACCCTAAACCCTAAACCTGAAACCCTAAACCCTAAACCCTAAACCCTAAACCCTACAATTGGTTAAGAAGTGCCATGAACCTCCAAGTAAGGTTTGGGGCCCCTTCGCCTGCGCCAGCAAAGACTGCGCCGTGGTGTCGCCGCGCGCTGCGGCGTCGGTGAGGCCCTGCGGCCGGAAGTTGGCTTGGGGATTGGGGTTTAGGGTTTGGGGTTTGGGGTTTGGGGTTTGGGGTTTAGGGTTTGGGGTTTAGGGTTTAGGGTTCAGGGTTTGGGGTTTGGGGTTTAGGGTCTAGGGTCTAGGGGCTTCTGTGTGGGCACCCCCCCCTGCTGAACCGTGGTTAGTACACTTCGGGTTGGAAATATTTCCTTTTGAGCTTGAACGAAAGCAAATAGCGCCAGCCATATTGGTGGAACCCACACAAGGGCACGCCTCTTCTCGGAAGGCCCCCCCCCCCCCCACATGAAACCCTAAACCCTAAACGTTAAACCCTGCTGGAGGGGATGCTGGGCTTGGTCGTGGGTTGTACGGCGATTCTTCTTGCTCTTATGAGCGCTTCTCTTGCTCTTGCTACTACCACTCCAACTACCCCCTCCAAACCCTAAACCCTAAGCCCTAAGCCCTAAGCCTAAACCCTAAACCCTAAACCCTAAACCCTAAAACCCTAAAACCCTAAAACCCTAAACCCTAAACCCTAAACCCTAAACCCTAAACCCTAAAACCCTAAACCCTAAACCCTAAACCCTAAACCCTAAACCTACCGACACAACTTCTTTGTTGCCATTGGTATTTCATGCTCCTATTTCTCAGTAGCGATTTCTTCCCCGAAGACCTGACAAAGCTACAGCTTCCATCTGATGATGGGGTTTAGGGTTTAGGGTTTAGGGTTTAGGGTTTAGGGTTTAGGGTTTAGGGTTTAGGGTTTAGGGTTTAGGGTTTAGGGTTTAGGGTTTAGGGTTTAGGGATTGCCCACACCAGAACCTGCGCAGCCAGGAGTAACCACTGCGACTTTCTGTAACTCCCCTGAGATGGCCCTTAAAACCCTCTAAAGCATCTTCCCAAATCTGATCCTCTAAAACCCGATACGGGACAACAGTACAATATCCCAAGGGCTAGCCAGTCTCTAAACCCCCCCCCCCTGCCGACCCTGAGCCCTTCACCAATGCCTTATGGATGCCGACATCTTCGTCGTTTCCAAATCCTGGACTGAAGCTCAGGAAGCTCTGGGTTCAGGGTTTAGGGTTCGGGGTTTAGAGTTTTAGGGTTTAGGGTTTAGGGCTTCTTTGACCTTCTGGATTCTGGGGGTCAGTAAAAGGGGGTTGAGGGTTTTAGTAGCTTAAGGCTTCTACATTTAGGGTTTAGGGCTTAGGGTTGGCAGGTGGACCCGGACGACTTCCAGCAGAGGCACGGCACAAGGGATTGCAGGTGGGCGGGGGCTTCTTTTTGGTTGTGGTACTCCTAAACCCCTCAACCCTAAACCCCCTAAACCCTAAACTCCCCTAACCCCCCCAACCCTACACCCTACACCCTACACCCTACACCCTACACCCTAAACCCTAAACCCTAAACCCTAGACCCTAAACCCTAAACCCTAACCCCCCCCCCCCTAACCCCTAAACCCACCCTATTCGCCATGCTGTCTTCAGCTGCCCTGCCAAACGTGCTGCTTAGGCACGCCATGATGTCGAGTCCTCAGTGCCTGGGGTTTAGGGTTTAGGGTTTAGGGTTTAGGATTTAGGGTTTAGGGTTTAGCCGACTTATTAGTAGGACTCTGGTTGTCCTGGGGTTCTGGGGCTTATAGGACTTAGGGTTCAGGGTTTAGGGTTTGGAGTTTAAGGTTAGGGTTTATAGGGCTTAGGGTTTAGGGTTTAAGGTTAAGGTTTATAGGGTTTAGGGGTTAGGGTTTAGGGTTTAGCCGACTTGTTAGTAGGACTCTGGTTGTCCTGGGGTTTTGGGGCTTATAGGACTTAAGGTTCAGGGTTTAGGGTTTGGGGTTTCGGGTGTAGGGTTTACTCATGTTCCCCCCCCCCCCCCCCCAACAGCATAAAGCCGATCAGCTATGCGGTTGACCAGCCTGTCTACTTTGTAGGGCTGATGCATGGGCCTACATAATTGCCAATAGCATACCCGCGCACCATCCCCTGTATCATGTATCAGCAAGGCAAAAAGGTACCCCCAAATACTCATGCTGACAACATAGGACCCGACATGAGTTCAATATTCTGCTCACCAGC